CGTTCGAATTTCTCAGGGGCGAAACAGCGTCCAGATCTAGTTTCAAGAAACACCCCCAATCACAACTTCCGGAATATTCCGAAGACTTCCATCTGAGTGATCTCAGGAGGATATGACAGAATTCCCGTCAGTGATGGCACTATGGTTACCTAACATCACAATTCGGACCCATCCCTGACTGAGCTCCATTATTGCTATAGCGTAAGCTCGGTCCTGTTTAGCAGCGAACGCATCTGCCCGAAAACTTCGACTGCGTCATCGTTTTACGAGCGATCGCTGACGTCTGCAAACTCTGCGTAAGTCTTATCAAAAAAAGCCTTCACGTAAAGTCGACCGGCATCTCCATTTGAGCTTAGCACGGTGGTAGTGGTGTGACGGGTCATTCCTCGTTATCCTCAATACCATAGAACACTCCTTCGCCCCCCCCCCTTCATCACCAATTATAAGATCATACGTAAGCGACCCATTTGAAGTGTTTTTAATAATCATGCCCACTTCATATTGAACTTTCTGCTCCTAGTCATCCATCTTATAGCTAATCCACCCTTAGGCCTAGGTGAAGATGTGAATATTGTATATGCCCCTGATTCGAGTCCGTTTCTTTGGCCGTTGCTGGCAGAAGTATGGAGACATCTCAGGAGTATTCAGACGCCATACCGCTGCTTTACAGAAATGTTTCGGATGAGTCAATTACGCTTCGCAAGGCCCTCAATTCTTATCTTTCTTATCTTTAGTATGGGAGCGCACAATGAACTGGCCACCCCGAACGCCACTTTCAACACCTAACTCATTGATTGTATTAGGTGTTTCAGAAAGTTCTGTCGTTTTCTGACATTCCACTTTTTGGATGCTTTATTTCCCTTGAAATCTAGGAAAGCTGCAATTGATGTTGATGTCATTTTGAAGAACTTTTCCAGCTCTATCCAATGCTCAGCACAACTTTATCCTAAAATATTTTCTTATAGCTTTTTCAAAGCTTTGAATTCAGTATACTCGAGGAGCAAGCTGGCATGACTTTCTTTTTCTAGCTTTAAATAGACCTGAAAGTGGCGGGATCAGTTCAAGATATCAACGATGCTTTGGGCCTAGATTTGCAAAAAATGTGCTCAGAAGCAGTAGTTAAAAAATTATTGTAAGGAAGGCGAGAGCCTTGAATATGATGAGAGTAGTGGTCGGACAGTCGGACGGGCGGGGCCGCGCCGCGGGTGTTGTCTGCCGATTAGCCCGAAAGTCTGGATTTGTGAGAGCACGTGTGGGGGTCGAAGACCATAGAGAGCGTTCCGCCCAATTCGTGGCGTAAGTATGGTTATCAGCACGAGCTAGGTTGACGGAAGAAGCTGGCGGAAAGTTATAAAAATTTCGATGATAGTGGCTGCGCGACAAATCACCAATTTGGAGCATCGTCCATCAAATTGTCGCTGGTTTTATGTGGTGAAAAGCGACTCGTTTCTCTACAGATTTGCGACGTACAATAAAGAGCGGATTCTTCTCTATAGTCTACGAAAGTTTGCTGAATAGATCGACGGCGATGAAGCTCTACAAACTTTGCAGAATTTAAACTGTGCTGGAGGAGGGTTGTGGCAGCTTTCATGGGGCCAGCGGCTGGCCATGTTCTTCAGTATCAGATGGAACTGTTACAGTGGAGAATCAATCTTTATACTAATTCAAAAATCATCAAAAACTCTAGGACATGGGTCCAGCATTCCTCATTATAAAGGAACACACACATCCCTGAAAGGTGTCTTGAACGCACATCGCACGGCCAACCTGCTCACAAGTCTCTCGATCGAGTTCGCTCTGAACTCTCAGGTTGCGAAATGCGTACTTATGTAGACCCTGAATATCTACTGTCCAACTTTCTCGAGAGCTCGTCGGGTAGGTCTTCCTGAAGAGAAATACCACAAAAACACCCTAACATTTGGTGCTAACATACGACTTCCATTCTGTTCTATCGCTCCCAGGACGGGTTTCGAGTCGATTCCATACATAAACTGTTACCCCTCTGAACGGTGTTCTAGATTAGAACAAGATTCGCGCTTTCAAAATGGGGTTTCTGTTAACAGACGTCGAAAGGTTTAGCCAAGCCGAGATACTGTGCATGTTAAAAGATTTACTCGGACTGTTGAAAGACGGAGCAGAAACTGGCTGAGAACACCTTAAGACCAGAGAGCACTCGAGCGTGCGCAAGAGGGGTAAACGACTGAGCATAGAGGCTCCACCATCACTTGTCGCGCCAGATAAAGCGATTGAATCAGCTTCAACTCGTCCCTGTTGGACATGGATAGTCAGTCCGAGCGGTCCAAAGTTGACACCTGGGGAGGCGGATGCTTACGGATTAAACTTTCCTCTCGCTCATTGTCTAGGTGGACGGTTACGAGTGTACGATGATGCAGAGTTGAAGAAAAGAGAACTAAGGGAGAAACGCTTTGAACCGTTGGTGAGTCGGAACCCTGCTCTCAGCCATTCCATTTTCCAGCCGGTCGGGAGTAAGATTAATTGAGTATCAATGTAGAAATCATGGTTTTCACTAGTCTAAGTCCAGCCGGCTACAATGAGGCCATCCTACTTTGGAAATGTGCTAGGTATTTTTTTGGGCATCTGTGTCCTAGCCAAAGGGCTGTTTCGGAGTAATTTGGATCTCGCGAGCCATCGCCAGAAGCCGAGCGCAGAGGGGGTGATTTGGAGGGCGTTCTTGTCGGGACTTACAGCTTTTTGATTTTCATTTATTATCCCATTTCCTCGCGTGCTATCAATTGGTCCATTTTACCTGCTTTGGCTTAGTCCATTCTCTTACCATTGATTGATTCATATTTACATGTGTTCTAATCTAGGTCAAGCTGCGGAAGTGGGGGGGGTTAGGGCTAGTGGCACGCACTACACTCACATAGTGCCGTCAAAAAATGACTAACCGCAGGCGTTTTTTGCAATAACTCGTGTCAAGCTTGATATTTTTCTGAATTTTGACATGCTACCATCATTCCTCATACATCCCGCACTTTTCAGGCCATGACGGACAGCGCGGGACGTGTGCGTCCCGCACTCAACACATTCATTTTTCCGTGCACGCGCGATTCATTTTTGAGTTTTTTTGTAATGTAACGCCGCAAAATCTTCGGTGTTGAATAATTTTCCATTTCACTTTTCTCTTCATGCATGTGAAGATTAAAAGAGTAGTGGAAGTAAATACGGAACCTATGGGGAGACAAGATATCTGTTCTATTTCACCCTCAATCTGTGTCAAAAAGTTTGGAAACTCCGCAATTTCTAAATTGAATTCAGAACAATAGTTCTTAAATCAGCATGAAGAATTAGCAATTTGCTGAGTAGCTCAGGTAGCGGTCATGGCCACTACAGATCCTTCCAGATATTATCATTGTTATCGCTTTCTATTGCTTGTTTTCTATGTGCTCGCCTCATCCCACCCACTTCCACCACCATCATGTGGTAGTAGTAATTATGACTGGTCCTGGTCAAATGGTCTCATGGTTCATCCTTCCGAGTCAATCTGGCCCCATCTACACAACCCAACGCGCTCCAAAGCTCGATGTGTGAAGGGTAGCGATCGTAGCCGAACACACGTTAAGAGCTCGGTAGTACCGACTCGGATATTTGCTCATGCGATTTTCACATTGAGTTCCCGTTCTGGTCTCGACTATTTCATCTCCTACCATGTGTTCACAGGGTGGGTCAATATCATGGTAACCGCGAGTGTGCGCGGTCAAGCCCACTTTTTTCCTAGTCTGTTCACTTTTCTCTTATTTTTGGGCATATCATAATGTCTCCTTTTTATTGGAACGAAAATCGCATAGTTTCTAAAATTTCTGAAACAATCACATAGCGGTGGGCCAGTCCCCAAATTAACCGGCGCGTGGCCCTAGCACCCTATATATTGCACCTCTTCAGCGTAACAAAGAAGCTTTTAGGGTAGCGGTTGAACGCTTCATTACGTTAGGAACCACTTAAGATAAAAGATTGTATTGCGACCATTGAAGAGCCGAATTGAAAAAAATGATATGGAAGAAGATCTGGAACTCTGTCTCTCGAATGTCTGCCATGGACAAGAAACCCTTTGAGAAAGTGAAAATCTTGCAATAGGGATTTTTCAAGTTCATTTTCCTCGAACAACTGTTACCTAGAAAACCCATACCGGGTCCAGCTGGATTCGCTGCATGGTAGTCCTTGAGGCAGGAGCAAACTAAAACCCCTGAGAAACTTTGATATTCTGAAGAAGGTACGAAAAAAGCTTGGAACCGTGACGCGTCTCACCTGCGTGCTGCTGTACACGCCTTCTCTTCTTTTGAAGTCCTGAATTAAAGCAGTTGTAACAGATTTCAAACCCGACCTGACTTTGCTTTGCGATACTAGTGGCCAACCCTTTCTCGAACTTAATTTGTATTGCCAGGCTAATATTCGGCGATATAATTTCCTGGTTACCATAATTCTGGCCTATTGCATATCACTATCAGACCACTTTTCCTTATCTTCAAAACACAGTGTGCCAACGATCCGGGAATTGCCATTGATTTGATTATTCCTGGCCTATGGCACAAAGGTAATGAAAGAAGCGCCTCCAGCCATCTCACATTTGAAGTTTGATCTGGACGATCCTATCCATTGCTTTCAGGTTTTCGCTACTTTTCAAGGTTCATACCGGGTGAGAACGCTCTGTAATATTGCATCAGAACATATGACAGCCCTTGCTTTCTACGCACCAGAAAGATGGACTCCGTAGTGGGAACCCTTTTTCCACTTTACCCCGATCCCGACCCCCTTCAAGGCCCTTTGCTGAGGCCCTTATCTCCAAGAAGAGAAATAGAAATCTTTCTTCGCTTCCGAGAATTATCTCCTCCCTTCCACTCCTACACCCTTTCTACCCTTTCTGATCGACGGCTTTATTATAGATAATTTCAGTATAAGCCGGTTGCCATTGTAGGACGTATTAACGACCTCAGACTTCTCAAATGGAAGACTGACAAGAGGAGGCCTGGGCGAAACAGAGGATGTGGGGCGCATTCTTGACTATGAGGTAAAGGTACATCTACTATTTCTTATCCCCTATCCTGCTTACTATATCAGCTTCGTCTGTCTGTTTGAGTGTTGTCTTCCTATGTTTCTCTTTGTCTCTGTCTCGCATTCGGTATGACCTCAAGAACGACCTGTAGAGCCCGGACCAAGTTCGGGATGAGTGGTGCACGGGACGAGATGCACCGAACATTCACTGCGCGCAAAATCATAGTTCCACCACATGTTTCTCTGCTGCATTTTGCTTTTACCCAATCAAATTTTGAAATTATTACCCACTCAAGTCCCTTAGCTTATAGCAAAGGCAAAACCGCTGTCGAACTTCCGTAAAAGGAAAACCTAGCAAAAGAGACGCAGGAGTTGTTGAAGTGTCAGCTCACGCTAGAATTTGTCGGGGTGGCTTCATAACGAACAAGTTTCTCAAGGATGCTACAGGATATGATTCTGGGAAGAACCCTGATTACTATCCGACCGAGATAAGCGCCGTATCGTGAGAAAATAATACGACTTTATCCAGACGGGTACGGAAATCAAAACTTCTTCAAAAGTTAGTGTCAATGGAAGCAGTTTCACGTGTTTTACAACACGCTCGTGACAGTCCATGTCTGGAGGATAAGAAATACGCTTTCAGTGAGAAGAAATCAGAGAGAAAAACGAGCCATTTTTCTTTGAAGCTCAGCCAGTTCGAGTGAAGCGGTGGCATTCTTTCATTTGCGACTTTTGATTTGCGTCTTTCTTTCTCTTAACGTTTTTCTTTCTCAGATCGGTTTTCTACTTCGTAGCACACATGTATGGAGAAGAAAATGATCAGGAGGATGGTCAGAGGTTCCAAAATATCACAGATAAAAAAGTGTCCTCACTTCGCTCTACTTAGCAAAACTTTTTGAGAAAAATGGCTCGTTTTCTTCTCTGATTTCTTTTCACTAAAAGCGTATTTTTTATCTTCCAGCATGGACTGTCACGAGCGTGTTGTAAAACACGTGAAACTGCTTCCATTGAGACACTAACTTTTGAAGAAGTTTTGATTTCCGTACCCGTCTGGATAAAGTCGTATTATTTTCTCACGATACGGCGCTTATCTCGGTCGGATAGTAATCAGGGTTCTTCCCAGAATCATATCCTGTAGCATCCTTGAGAAACTTGTTCGTTATGAAGCCACCCCGACAAATTCTAGCGTGAGCTGACACTTCAACAACTGCCTGCGTCTCTTTTGCTAGGGTTTTCCTTTTACGGAAGTTCGACAGCGGTTTTGCCTTTGCTATAAGCTAAGGGACTTGAGTGGGTAATAATTTCAAAATTTGATTGGGTAAAAGCAAAATGCAGCAGAGAAACATGTGGTGGAACTATGATTTTGCGTCATAGGCAAGTCGGGTATTTTCGAAACAATGAGGAGAAAGAAAAAAAGAAAAGAAAGAAAAAAAGAACTTCAGCAATATATTGGATCTCGATACAGAAACTTGAGACACTGCATATTTTAGAGCTTTGCCTACTGCTTCGAAAGCAAACGTGACGCTTCCAGTTTGGCCGGGGAATCCAGAACAAACTACATAGAATTACATCAATTTTCCACTCAGAAATCCATCGAGGGAATTCGATCAAAATCACTTTTTGTGAAATTTGCAAAAGTACACTAGATATTGAAAGCAAGAAGGGATGAACTCATCCGTAACATAGCAAGCATTTTAGGCGTTCATTTTCTTCTCCACCACAGAATTTGAAACCTCCTTGCGCCTTTCAAGACTCATCTTCAAACTTTCCTTGAGTAGAATACCTGCTGAGAAAGATCCACAAGGACCATGATCACCTTTTTGAAACATTTTACTGTAACAAATTTGAAATAGTTTCCGCGTGAGAGTCGCATAACAGTTTTCGACCGAATCCCCACATTGAGCATTGTCCCATGTGGCCAGAACTGGTCCTCATGTCGAGCCAAGCGCCGCCAACGGGTCAGCGTTGGTTGAGCCAGCTGAATCCAACACAAAGAGTGAGAAGTCGGCCACGGATAGAACACCATGGCAGATAATGAACACATTTTTACGTTACAATGTTTAGAGTCCCGTTCAAGGTCGATCTCCTGCTTTTTCGGCTGGCTAAACTCCGAGATAGCGCTCGTCTGTGTGATGTGACTCTGGTCGCCGAGGTAGTCTACCTAACGCAATGACCGTTCAATAGACATGAAAGAGATATTTCAGGGAACACGGATAAGCGCCCATCGAGTCGTACTTGCTGCAAGTACAGATTATTTTGAAGCCATGTTCGCAAACGATATGGCTGAAAGCCGCATGGGTATTTTGTTTCATGCTCTTATACAATCCGTTTCAAAAGTATAGAGGCACCCTATCCCAACACGGCCCTTCCCTTACTAATGGCGAGTAAATGATGCGTTAGCCCTTGTCAAGTACATAAGAAGTGTGAGTGAACAAAAAAACTCGATAGGAAGCCGCTAAAAGGACTTGAACTTCACGATGACTTATCGTTGAGTGCCAACCGTGAGTCACGTAGGTCGCATTTATGTGTGCAGCTCATATTGCGCCTCAAGAGTGGAAGTAAGGTATTGCCTCAGTGCATGTCCAATTCAAAAAGAGAAGTGAAAAGCCATGAATTCTTCCTCCTAATTCGGAAAATTACTTTCAAGGGGGCCCTTATACTTTTGACAGGCGCTGTGCATCCCGATGAGTTCTCTGTCTTTGGGCGATCCTTGTGAAGGAAATTTTTACAAGCTCTTTCTGCAGAAGAAATAGAAATCAAAGATGTGGAAGCCGCAGTGCTTGGAGCTCTGGTCAATTTTTGCTATTCCGGAAAAATAAGGATCAGTAGCACCAATGTATGGACTGTGTTGCCCACCGCGTGCCTACTTCAGCTTAATGAAGTAAAGGTAAGAATTGCCAATGTTTGAAAGGTTTTGCCTCGTTCAAATATTGAACCGTAAAAATATGAAGATTTCTGTTTTTCCCTTTGCAGGAGCAGTGCAGTGAATTTTTGGAGAAACAACTGAATGCTTCAAATTGCTTAAAAATTCGAGCTTTTGCCGACACCTATGCGTGTGCAGAGCTTTTACGCTGTGCTAACGAGTTATCCTGCACAATTTCAAGGTTATTCCTTTGTCAATCCTCACTCAAATTGAGAAAATCATATCCTTCCATCTCCTCAGGACGTTATTGGCACTGACGAGTTTTATCGGCTCCCTGGTAACCAATTAGTTGAACTGATTTCAAGTGAAGAACTCCAGGTGCCGTCACAAGAAAAGGTATTTGCTGAATATTTGTACAGGCTCCTGCATCCATCCCTGATGGGGCTTCGCATATCCATCTATAATTAAGTCCTTCCAGGTTTTTGAGGCAGTTGTTGACTGGGTCAGGTTCGATATACCGGCTCGGCAGCAATTGTTGCCACAGGTGGTGACTGTATTCCTTGTCGTTGTCCGGCGTCCTATTGCACTCTACTTTGCAGTTGCTCGAGCATGTGCGGCTTCAGCTTTGTGATCCTAAATTTCTGGTCAATACTGTCAGTAAAGACACTTTAGTGAATTCAAATGATGTCTGCCGGAATCTTGTCGACAAAGCGAAGGTTAGTAGTTGATGCTGAGCTGCAGCGTGCTGAACATTTTTCTCATAATTTGGCTGCTGGTTGCTTCAGGACTACCACATTCTACAACTTTCTACACACGAACAGCCTAGCATGCGAGGAAAAATATCTTCTCATGAGATATTGTACGCTGGTAGGTCGAAGTGCTACTCTCCTCAACTTTACCCTTATTTCTTGATTAAAACGTGACTCGCAGCGCATGATATGAGAAAGTATGCATCGGGAGTTCGAAAAGAGCTAGTAGAAGCTAGCTAACTGAGGAGTTCAAAAAAGCGTCACTTTCAGTCGACGCGTAACGTCGCCCTATTTTGGACATTTTCTCTGAAAAGGGTACTCGGAATAAAGAAGGCGATTTTCAGGGAAACAGTGAAGAAAACAACCGGGCTTTACTTAGCGCAAATTAATCGCCGACGAACCCAAGGCCCAAATTAGCGTTGAGGTTCAGTTCTGATGTGATGTTAAAATAAAAAAGGATAAAGCATTTGCCGTTGATCAATCCCTTTTGGGATGCGGCACGCATTCTATTTGTACATTCGTAGTGGCGTTTGAATGCGATGTGGCCTATACAATGCGGGGCCAGCCGATGTACAAGTCAGTGTTTTTATCCTCCCAGACAAGTCTGGTACCAATTAACCGACCCCGGAGGGATGGAAGGCTTGGTTGGCCCGGGCGACTCACGACCCAGGATTTGATCCCCGGACCGCTCGCGTGGTAAGCGTGCCACTTGCCACTACACCACTTCCGCCCTAATGTGATGTTACGATCGCTATTACACCTTCTTCCATATGAGACACATTTTTGTACATAAATAGCCACTCTACGAGATGTTGGCAGGGTCAAGCATGCGTTAAGAAATCCTCGACAACAGGGTTCATATCAGGTCCAGTGCGAAGGGGGAGTGGTAAGAGCTGGGATCAGCAATGATTAGAGCAGCGGTGCCCATTATGGAGTGGATGGAAATCATGAGTCGCGCCAGGAGGTCAAGTGCACTGCGCATCTCTGAGCGAGTTCGGCCAATGTTATGCGCCTCAACTTCCGTCTTCTGCAATGGGGATGTGAGTTTGAAGGGCATCAAGAGGTTTTCGGTAGGGACCATTTGAAATGATAGAAAGGACGGCACGCATTCGTCTTTCATTTGTACATTCGTAGTGGCAGTTTGAATGCGATGTGGCCTATACAATGACTTGCGGGGGCCAGCCGATGTACAAGTCAGTGTTTTTATCCTCCCAGACAAGTCTGGTACCAATTAACCGACCCCGGAGGGATGGAAGGCTTGGTTGGACAACCCAGGAGTCGATCCCCGGATCGCGCGCGTGGTTAGCAACGCTACTTGCCCGCTACTTGCTACTGCACCACCTCCGCCCCCAAAAAATACAATCACCTGTCACCTGTCACCTGTCGTCCCGTTGATCGTCGATTTGCTCGAGCGGGCGCCAGCAACGTCTCCATTCGTCCCTGTCGCGTGCAAGAGTTGTCCAGTGGATCCTCCTCGCTCGAGGGACACGAAGTCCTTCATTCCTTTCGTTCAGAGCTTTCGTGAAGAAGTCTGACCATCGGGCCGGCGGTCGTCCAGGTGTTCGTTTGACGTCCCGAGGGATCCAGTCGGTAACCGCTCTGGTCCAACGGTCATCGCAAAATCGCATGACGTGTCCGGCCCACCTTATCTTCGATTCCTTGGCGAAAACGGCAGCGTCCCTGATCTTCGATCGTTGGCGTAGT